TGCAAAAGAAACCTCTAGCAAGAAAGAGAATCAGCAAGAAAGGAGTAGGTTTAGGGGGCAAAAATGCAGGCATGGGAAAGAGTCAGCTCCTTTTTGAACCTGCTATACTGCACTTTAAGCAGCTCCCTCCTATTCTCATTCACTTTTCAGGAAATGAACAGAGCCTGTATTACAACACATAGGTGGCAGGCACTGCCACAAAATTCCTCAGGCTTAGAATAGGAGAAAATATACATGTGACAAATTATTATCATTATGAGGCAAATTCAGAGCAAATTCTAATATGGCTAAACACTGTACAACCTGCTTATTCTAATGTTAAATTTATATCTGAATAATATTTGAGTGTATTTAATGTGTAAAGAAGAAACTTTTGTATTACTGTTATTTTTTATGTTAAAATGAATAAAAATTGTTTTGGTTAAAAAAATAATAATTCTGAGCATATCTGCCCTATAGGCTTATAACTATAATGGCATCCCTCAGAGATTTCTGGTAACAGATGCCTGATGAAGAGAAGTCTTGTGTGGCAGGTCTCTGAAACATTCCAACTAGAATTCTCAAAATTTCCAAGGGAGAGGGAATAACTGTTAAATCAAGTCTACAGCATACATGAGAGCTGTGTAACAAACAAGAGTGTAACAAATTCTATCAGATACAGAAATACTTTATTCTTGATACCTCCCTCTCTTTTCCTATACATGTTAACACTCATCTCTAGCCACTCCAATGTTATAAATGCTACATAAAGATGCAACAAAATGAGTTTTCCTACCTCAAAATGCTTTCATTCAATGACTATGGCAAAAGACAGCAGATGGGGAAAAGAAATCCAGGCACAAATCGGGGAAGTAATTTCAACAGCTGCAAAGACACTGCCAATTTCTTTTGTATTTTTGATTAAGAATTGTTTCAATGTTCTATTTCAAAACTCTGAAAATATGAGGATGTTTCTAGGTTTTATATTACATAACAGCATTGCGATAATGTTTTGTCTTATACTATAAACATTACACACAGAATTTAATTAACTGGTTTTCATTGTGTATCAGCTGCCTATGCAACATTAGAAGACATTTTTAAGTCTACTTGTATAGAAGGCAATTACAGTCTGCTTGCAATTGGGAAAGTAACTCAGAGAAATTGTTTTCCTACTCAGTAAGCTCTCCATGCACATTCAGAGTCAAAACTACTTGGCAATTCACTTTCCTTGGTGTACTGTAAAACCAAATCTATTTCTATAATCCAAAACAGAGAGAATGTATATAAAAACAAACAAACAAAAACATATTAACAGTATGAATAGCTTGTTATGAGGAGGGCTTCCAACAGGGTTCTAGACCACTACATCTGTTTGGAAATTGTGTTTCAGAATGGAACAATATAATTTGCAGTGTTGTCTGAGTGAAATTGGAAACTAGCCCAACCACCAGTTAAGAATGCAAGGGTTAACTTTCTGATTTCACGGAAATGCAGTACCATAGCCACTGCATCTTTTTTAAAAAAATGCTATTCCCACTTTCCCAGAAAATACTGATACATAAAGTTTGTAGTAAGAGGGTGTACAGCTGTTCTGGCTGCTGTGAGAAGGGACAAACAAAAGTCACTGATTCCAGGCTGAAGACCAAGTGTTCAATCCTGAAGAGATTAACCTCTTGCCAGTTTTAAAACACTATAAATACAAGACATGAATGCAGAATACACTGGTGCATTGCCTTGGCAGAAATAGTAAATGCACAATCATCTTGCCTAAAACATATCCAGAAAGGAGACAAACTCTTTTCATGCTCTGCCAAACGTAATCACGGCTCCGGAAAAAAGGTCCTATTTTGTTACAGCTCATGTTGCCATCTTGGGAGTTTCTGTGATTCATTTATCAGACATAACATGGCACAAAAGAATAATGTGAAAGTCAGTAAAAGCCCTTATAAACTTTGGTTTGGGTCCTAAGCTCCCTTTCGGTTTGCCAAAGCTGCTTCTACTTCCAGAAGACGGGAGACGATTGTCACTGATCCCGACTGCACTTCATCCAGGGATCCATAGGGCACACCCGGGGGGGGGGGGGGACTGGGCAATTCCAATGGAAAGGGGAGAGTTACTGTTTATACAGCTCTGTTCTTGCTGCATACGATCCAAGCTTTTGCTTCTGAACAGAGATGCTAAGAGTCAGCCTGGGCCCTCAAACAAAGATTTCCTCTGTTCCCATTCCTACTCAAACATACACGACTTGCATGTACAGGGTGAGCAGGGCCCCTAGAATTTGTCCCCTCATTACTTCTCCTGTCCCCTCAATGGCCGTGCTTGGGAAAACATCTGAGACAGTTAGAGCTCTCTCTGTGGGATGAAAAAGCTTGGCGCAAAGTACACAAAAGTAGTTCTGGACAGATACAGAGTAGGTTGTTTATTTAATTTTATCTCAGCTCCATACAATATTCCCTTTGGCAGCACTGGAATGCAAAACAAACTTTGAAATTAAATGTTAATTTGCCTATCAGAGTATTTTCTCTATATGTATTATTCCAAAACACATATTATTCCAAAACAGGGCTTTGGAATTATTTACATTATCAGTGCAAAAACAAATCGATACTGTAGGGTTTTTTCCATTACTGTATTTTGCTCCTGTTCACATTCTATAATTTTAAACAGTGAGTGGGAGCAGATGGAAGGCTTCCTGCAACTCATACATTCCCATATTACCCTATTTTGGATATTCAGATCCTGATCCATCCTTTGTCCCATGTAGAACAAAATATCTATTGATTATCTAATCTAGACAATCTAGTATTTTTGCTCCTCCCTACTGCTAAACTTATGTTGGGGGAAAAATGCCAGTACTATACCTTGCTATGCTCTAAATAGTACTGCAAGACTTTCAGACATAGCTTGCTAGATCTGAACTATTTAGCTATTTAACAGTGCATCTCTTCATCTGTTTTTGTTTGCAAGATAAGGTCTTATATAGTACTCCATTACTAGAGGGAGGAGGGGGAGGAGGAGGAGACTTGATTTATACCCTGCCCTTCATTACCTGAAGGAGTCTCAGAGCAGCTTTTAATTCCTTTCCCTTCCCCTCCCCACAACAGACACCCTGTGAGGTAGGTGGGGCTAAGAGAGCTCTTTTGAGAACTGCTCTTGAGAGAACAGCTCTGAAAGAACTTGTGACTGACCCAAGGTCACACCAGCAGCTGCATGTGGAGGAGTGGGGATCAAACCCGGTTCTCCCAGATTAAAGTCCATGCACTTAACTACCACACCAAACTGGCTCTTAATAAGAGCTTAATAAGACCCAATATCAGTGCTTATAAAACCAAAACTTGAAGCTACAATACATTTTAATTTTACTGTACTATAAAGTGCAAGCTAGTTAGCTTTAAAAACCGGATTATAAATTTCCATGCTTTGATCAAGCAAGTTCACCTCAAGACTATCTCTACCTAACATAAGAGTTAACTTTAAGAAAGGTGAAATCTGATCAGAACAAAAGCTAAGCTAAGCTAAAAATACATTTTAGCATGGGAGTTGTTCTAAATACAAGTGTATCTTTACCTACAGTGATACACTTTAAATTCATCTACTTGGACAAAACACACTAACATTTGAGCAACACATTTATATTTTTAGCTTAAGTACTTGGCAGTGCCCTCGTAAGCATTGGCTTTAGTAGCTTAGAAGGGTGAACTCTGCATAGGATTGCACTTTTATACTAGTTATGAAACTTTTAAATTAATTACAATAAACTCTGCAACATGTGCTTGCTGGCTAACTTAATATTGTCATTGACCAAACATCTAAATTATTCTATATATATGCAATGCAAGCATTTAAATTCTAATGTAGTAACATTATTAAATGTAAAAGCAGAGCTGAACAAAACTAACTGCCAGCCATAGGATAAAAACAATTTCCTAGTTATAAAGCCATTGAACGCATATTTTAAAGAAGGAAAGAATATGTATTCTGCCAGTTAATTCCTCATGTCTGTATTCTTGGGGGATACCCAGTTCTCAAAGAATCTTGGTATAACATTGGTTTGAGTTTCTCATTAAAATGGGTTCAGGGAGATAGCAGTGTTGGTTTGAAGCAACAGAACAAAGTTTGAGTCCAGTAGACTCAATTTAATTTCATGATTAAAATCCTTTAAAATTAATCAGGTGCAATTGTACACAGTTAGTCCAGTCAAAGCCCCCTAAAGTCTTTAGACAGGACTCCACTGTAAACTTGCATTTTTTTATATATATATATATA